AAGATATGGTACAAACCACTATAGATCCATCATTATCTCTCTGGAAGAAAGACAAATCTCTTCTCTAGGTGGCCCAGACTTTTCTTCTCTGATTGTGAGACTCCTGGGGAAATTTCTTGGTTTCCATTGTTTTAATAGTCTGGATAGCTAAAGTGTTTTTTAGAATATATTTATTTCTGCCAGGTCAGTTATAGCAGCATAGTTAAAAGCAACAGAAGCTACTGGCAGGAGGTGGGGGCAAGTTCCTGCATGTCCACATTCTCTACTCCATGTCCAGCTCTCCTTCCTGATTATGACTCTTTCCAGCCAGCAGTGCCCTAGTCTCCCATGCCCTCTGTGGTGCTTTGAATAAGAATGGCCCCCATAGCTGGGTAGTGGTGACCATGCCTTTAATCCCAGCACTCAGGAGGCAAAGGCAGGCAGATCTCTGTAAGTTCCAGGCCAGCCTGGTGTACAGAGCAAGTTCCATGATAGGCTCCTAAGCTACAGAAAAACCCTGTCTTGGAAAAAAAAAGAATGGTCCCCATAGGCTCATCTAGTTAAATGCTTAGTCATTGGGGAGTGTCATTTGAAAGGATTAGAAGAATTAGAAGGTGCAGGCTTGTTGAAGAAGTGTGACACTGAGAGTGAGCTTTGAGGTTTCAAAAGCTCATGGCAGGCCCAGTCTCTCTCTTGACCTATGGCTCAGATGTACCTTTTGGTTACTTCTCCAGCACCATGTGTGCCACCGTGCTCCCTACCATGACAATGGACTAAACCTCTGAAGCTGTAAGCCAACCCCCAATTAAATGCTTTATAAGAGCTGCCTTGGTCATGGAGTCTCGTCACAGCAATAGAACAGGGACCTTCCTTAGGCCCTACTCTGGTTTCTCCTGATCCTCCAAGTAGCCTTTCAGACACCATCACTTCTCCAGCTTGTTCTTTGACTCAGTCCCATATAATCACTAATAGGACTCCAGTCCTTTGTCATTCCCTGATACAAACTGACACTGGTGTCTGACCCAAGACTACATCAGATTTCTCTTTACTCTTATTTTCTTTTGAAATAAGGTATAACCATATATAGTCTAGGCTGGCTTCAAACTTATAATCCTCCTGTTTCAAACTCCTGAGTATGCAACAGACCTGACCCCTCCTGCCACCATGCCCACACGTAGACCCTGCTATGTAAAGTCCCTTTAAAAATCTCCCAACCCTGTTCCAGAAGCTTAAAGTCAAGATGTTCCAGCTAACTGCTGCTTTTTGCTTCTGTTACACTGTTCTCTTGCTCTGATTCCCCTGCAGCTGCCAAGCAGGATGTGGGTTTTGCCTTTAAAAGCTCCCCGCAGAAAGCAGGGAACAACTGTTTCTCTCTGGCCAGCTTAATAAAGACTTTCAAATCTGGATTCTGATCTTGCTGATTAGTGCCTGGGCCTTTGCACCACAACACAGTGCTGGGGTTACAGGGTTTGTATTTGTTCTTTTCCTTCCCCCCCCCCACCTAGTGTGTGTGTATGTGTGGGTATGGATGGCAGAGGACAACTTTGGGTGTTGTTCTTGAGGGGCCACCCAGCTTTTTTATTGAGGTGGGGGGTCTCCCTGGCCTGGAGGTCATCAAGTAGAATAGGCTGGCTAGTAAGCAAAGCCTAGGGATCTGCTGTCTCTCCCTCCCCAGCAAAGGAATTTACAAATATGTGACACCATGCTTGGCTTTTTAAAAATGAGAACTATTTCATTTTTAGTGATGTATATGCATACATATCCATGTGTGCCTGAGTGCAGGTTCTCACAGAGGCCACCCTGGAGCTGGAGTTATAAGGTGATTGTGAGCTGTCTGATGTGGGTGCCAGGAGTTGAACACCAGTCCTCTTCAAGAGGACTTCCTCTTTCTTTTCTTTTTCTTTCTTTCTTTTGAGACAGTGACTCTTTACATAGCCCTGGCTGTACTGGAACTCACTGTGTTAAACAGACTGGTCTTGAACACATCTTGTAGGCAGGAAAAATAGTAGGTCAAGGGTTTGTGGCTGGGTTGGTGTCCCAGTCCCTCCACTGGCAGTCTTGCCTGGTTACAGGAGATGGCCAGTTCAGGTTCCATATCCCCCTTTGCTGGAAGTCTTAGCTAGGGTCACCCTCATAGATTCCTGGGAGTTTCCATTGCTCTAGGTTTCTAGCTAGTCCCCAAGATGCCCTCAGATACCAGTTGTCTCTCCCAGTACTCTCTCCCTCCACCCCCAGCCTTCCTGTTCCCATTGCATAGAATATTTTTTAAATAAAAAGTTTTAGGGCTGAGAGTGTTTGTCTAGCAAGTGCAAGCCTTTGGTTCAACCCCCAGTACCCATGAAAAGTTTTTGAAAGTCAAAATTCTGTTTTTATATATCTTTCTAAGATATAAAATAGTAGTTGATCATCTCATGGGAACATTAAGTTTTTATTTCTGGTGCAAAGAGTAGTTAGTAGGAGGACCTACTGCAATGACAATGAATACGCCACCCCAAAATGTGCCTCTTAGCCATAGGGATTACTTCCTATTAAAGGTATCTGACTCATGGCAGATTCATGTCTTCAGAAAACAAATGAACTCTCCCATGTAAAGATGCCCTCTACATAGCAAGAGAAACAATTTCCAGTGGAGAGAATTCTGCACACACAGATCTCATTAAAATAACTACCATCTCCCTTTGGCCTCCCACTGACTGACTTTTCTACAATTGCCTCTCTCTGTTCAACCTAATACAGAAGCATGTTGGTTCTGCCACCTCCTCGTGGGTCGTGTAAATCTCTTATTAAATTCCTATGCTTTTCCTGTTACTCTCTCGTGTCGACTTAAGTCCCAGGTCCAGCTGGGACACGATTTGGTGAGCAGTAAAAGTCTGCCTCCCCTGCAATAGGATTCTCCAAAGTGGCCATGAGCACAGAGGGGGTTAAAGGAAAACCATGACATCTGATGGGCTCACAGTTGACTGGAGGGTGGGGCCAGGTAGCTGTGTACCTGTGCATAACACAAGGGCAATATGCACAAGTTTTTTGTTTTTTTGTTTTTTTGTTTTTTTCAGGACAGGGTTTCTCTGTGTGGCTTTGGAGCCTATCCTGGCACTCGCTCTGGAGACCAGGCTGGCCTCGAACTCACAGAGATCCACCTGCCTCTGCCTCCTGAGTGCTGGGATTAAAGGTGTGTGCCATGACCACCGGCCTTAATATGTGCAAATTATTGAGAGAAAGCAGTAGTTCCACAGAGGTTGAACACAGCCGATTCTCTTTTGCCATTTCATTGCACCGAGGGACAGCTGAGCAAACTGAGGCACAATACACCAAACTAACATCATCACCCTGTAGCTCCTGGCAGATGTGAGAGGAGCACCCCACCTTCCGCCACTGTACACAGATGAGAGAAACAGTAAAGAACGAGAGATTCGAATCAGGGCCACAGATGGCTCGAAAATTGCTTTCAGCGGTAACTGAAAATAGCAGAGCCAATATAACGGCCTATTGTTTTATTCATCCAGCCTCATGAGGCACACTATTTATTCCCTTTGGTAGAGATGATGAGCAAATATTCCAAGGAAATCAGCATGGGAGATGGCAAAAAAGAAATGTTTCCTAAAATACTCAACTCTTAAATGTCCTGTTTTTACAAAGGCACACTTATTCCAGGGCAAATTCTGGTGTTTAGTGTTTTAAATTAGGAGAGGGAAACTCTTAAAAAGGAAAATGCTGTCATTATAATACTTGATTCTAGTAAGAATCATCAATGGATGTTAACACTAGAGGGTTAAATATTTAATGAGGAGACATTTACATGGTCTCAAAGTATCTTCCCACAAATTACTTATTAATTGCAAAGGGGAGAACCCTGACTTTACAGGGGAGAAAGCTGGCAACCACAACCTTAGCATCATAAAGAGCCACAGAGACCACGTGCTTCCTAATACAATACCCTGGAGGTACAGCACCCCTTCCATTGTGTGCCTGCCAAAAGGGAACACCCTCAAGATAGCTGTCACAGTTAGTTTGAGATGCCATAATGAAATTACTTAGCATGCGTAATTCATAAATAACAGAAGTATATTCCTTGCAGTTGTGGAAGCTAGGAGGTCCAAAATGTAAGCATTTGGGAAATTCAGCATTTGGTGAGGCTTGTCTGCTTCTAAGAATCCCCCATGAGACAAGCCTCTGGCAGGCCTGTGAGCAATTTTGATTAGGTTAGCTGAAGTGGAAAGACCCACCCTCAATGCGGGCAGCACTTTTTAGTGGCCCAGACATAAAGAGGTCTGAGGGAAAATCTTTGGCTTTTTGCCTGCTTGCCTTTGCAGTTGAGTGCTGCTGGGAACAGCACTGCCACACTGCCACACTGCCACACTGCCACCATCCGTCAGTGATGTCAGGACCTAGTTTCTTCAGCCTTCTAACATGAACTGAAGACCAGCAACTCCCCAGGTATCCCCCAGGCCACACTGGGACTGCTTAGTCATCTAGCTTCATAAACAGAGCAGCTATCAGGTTCATGCACTCCCGTGTGAACATAGCCACTGCTGGACTACCCAGCCCATATCATGTAAGCCAATTTAATAAATTCCCTTTATAACCTACCCCATCTCTCAGTTCTACTCCAGTAGAAAATCCTGTTTAATATATAGCTAAGGATGACCTTACAGTCTTGGTCCTCCTGTCTCTACTTCCCAAGAGCTGGATTATAGGAGGCACTACCAGGCCTGGTAGTAACTGCCACCTTGGGAGTTAGGTTCCAAGGTATGATTGTTTTTTGAGACAGGGTCTCACTGTATGTCCCTGGTTGACTAAACTCAAAACTCACAGAGATCAACCTGGGAGTGGTGGTACACACCTTTAATCCCAGCACTCGGGAGGCAGAAGCAGGCAGACCTCTATGAGTTGGAGACCAGCCTGGTCTACAAGAGCTATTTCCAGGACAGCCTCCAAAGCCACAGAGAAACCCTGTCTCAAAAACCCAGGGGAATAAAAAACAAAAAAGTTTAAAATTATTTCAAAATAAAAACTGAAAAAGAACAACTGAAAGTACTGGTACTCACTCGCACCTTGTGTTGGCTGTGGTCACTCATGTCAGGCAGGATTCCCAAGGCCCTGTGACCAAAAACTTGAGAAGAATGTGTCATGGTGCATTCTCAACACTAGGATAAGCTATGAATCTTTCCTTGTATTTGCTTGTCTCCTCCCACCACTGTCTTTTGAAGGATGATGGTAAGCTCACCAGCCGTGTTCATGTTGGTATTGTTCCACAACAGGCCACCTTCTGGTGGGAGCCCACATAAAAGGACATGGAAGAAGGAAACTTTTGCTTGTTTGCCCTCACTCTTGCTGGCAAGTTTGACTATCCTGTTGCTGCTGATTTAAATCTAATTTCTTGAGGATTCCAATATAAAGTAAAGACCAGCAGCAATCCAGGAAATCATCCAGGCCTCCAGCGCCAAACTGACACTGCTGAGTCATTCAATATTATGGGCTGAACGACTACCAGATTCCCAGCCTTTCTATCCCAAGACAACCGATGTTGGACTACTCAGATACATCCTGTAAGTCACTCTAATAAATCTTCCCCCTTTTTTTAATTTTGTTTTTTCGAGACAGGGTTTCTCTGTGGCTTTGGAGGCTGTCCTGGAACTAGTTCTTGTAGACCAGGCTGGTCTCGACCCTGGAACTAGTTCTTGTAGACCAGGCTGGTCTCGAACTCACAGAGATCCGCCTGCCTCTGCCTCCCGAGGGCTGGCACTAAAGGCGTGCGCCACCAACACCCGGCAACAAATCCCCTTTTAATATACATTCATTCTATCAGTTCTTTTCTTTTATCTAACCCTGACTACCACACTCAGCCTTTCAAGTGCAGGTGTCTGTCACTGTCTGGCTACACTATATATTTTAAACTATTTATTAAGTAGCGTATCGCAGAGACAGGGAAATGAACCGTTAAGAGGTAAGAATGAAAACTCCATTCAGGCTGATGTATCAACCTAGATTTAACTTCTAGAGTTTGATGCCAGAAGATTTATTGCCAGCATATTTAAACATATTATAATTTGGAAAAAAAACCCTTTCCTGGTGTAACACAATACCCAGTGCACAAGGAGGCATAATTACACCAAACTTAGTTCATGTCATTTCTTCCAAGAAGATGGGTTCTAGAAACAGGCTACTTATACCAGCTTAAGGGCCTAAGGAAGGATCTAGCCTGGTCTTGGTCATACAGATAGCCTAGAGGTCATTCGGGCTAATAGTCACCTCTGGTCCTGGTTGTTGGAGCCCCTAGCTATAAGGGTAGTATAAAGGTCATTTAGATTACTGGATACCTCTGGTCCTGATTGTAGGAGCTTGATGTGGTCTGGGTTTCTGGTTTCCCTGGAGATCTGTGGGTAGCAAGAACCTTCGTGTTCCCAACAATACACAAATAACATTCTTTTTTTTTTTTTGAGGTTACTTGTTTGTAAATCACCACAAAAGGTATTAGTATTTTAATGCATATCCAATTACTTTTCAACAATTGCTATTTAAAAAGAATTAAGATATACTACAAGAGCAACAGGTGCTCTTAACCATTGAGCCATCTCTCTAGCCCAACAATTGCTGTTTCTACTAGACAAAGTAAAATCATTGGGAAAATAACCACTATGTTTGTCATTTTCAGTGGAACTGGAGAGGTGGTTCAGCCTGCTACTCCTTCCAGAGGACCTGAGTTCAGTTTCCAAACACCCACAACTGGTAGCTCACAACCACCCATAACTCCAGCCCTAGAGGATCAATCACCCTCTTCTGGTCTCTGTAGGTCCACCACACCATAGGTGCACATATACACCCATACACACACGTGCATAAAATAAGTCTTTAAAGAATTTTCATCAGCAGGTGTCAAAAATTTGTTATGGAAAGCTGTTGGTGAATAGGGTGCCCATATACTATTCAAGTGCCTCTTACAATTATCTGTTGACTAATGAAGGGAAAACTACTTTTATAATGGAGAAACTGGCAGACAATTTCAGCGTAATCAAGTACCCAGCTTACCATAATGATGGAACAAAGTGACACCGGAAACATCACCTGCCTGGTGATGTACTAAAGACAATAAAATATAATCGGTGCTCTTGTTTTATAATTACAAAAACAATATTTTTTTAATGTGAAAAACTCACAAATCCAAAATAAGGACATTCTGAAAAGTCAATGGGCTGGATTATTCAATAATATCATTATAGAAGACAAAAAAAAAAAAGAGTGGGTGAGAAATTGTCCTAGATTAGAGGAGATTAACCCAAGGTGTAAATCGAATGTTAACTTTGACTGGATTTTGAATTTGTCTTCTCTAACTACAATGAGAGAAACAAAGGCTGTCAAAGACTCTAACATTTAAATACACATTGGATATCAGCTAACAGTGCTGTATATAGACCTGAGTGTTTATAAGTGGATGATAGTATTGTGGCCAGGCAGGCAATATCTTTGTCCCTAAGAGACAGATGCTGAAATATTTATGGGTGAAACGGCACAATGTCTTCAAATTACTAAGACTGAATTTCTGTATTTGGTTGAGAAATTGTATTGCCATGGAGTTACAGGCCAGATGAAACAAGTAAGACTCTTCTACACAGTTGGGCAGAAGCAGGCTGGGTCATTGCTATATTGGGTAGCTTGTAGTTTGTGGGGTTCAGGTATAGGAAGAGTGAAAGGCTACAGGCCTTCCACTCAGCGATCACACATAAGGGCTCATGTGCATAGGTCCTATGTGCCTCATTCTTCCATGCTATTAGCCCTATGACAGCTAAGGATGGCAGCAGCGCCTCAGCAGCATGTGGGACCCTGCGTGCTTTACAGCAGAGGTGCGAAAATTGCAGCTGGCTGTTGCGTCAGGGTCAGCTGTGAGGTTAGAATTTTGTGCTCTTTTTGTTGGCTGGCAGCTTGGCTGCTGGCACTCCTCTGACTGAGGCGACCATGGCAAGGGTCGCAGCACTAGTGCGGAAAACTGGAGAATACGTGAAGACCAAGGAGTTCCGGGATTATATAACCATCACCCACTTCTGGGGTCCTGTTGCCAACTGGGGCCTCCCAATGGCCACCTTCAAGGATATGAAGGCGCTTCCTGACATCATCAGCGGCCGCATGACGATGGCGCTCATCTTCTACTCCAAGGCCTTCATGTGCTTTGCCTACCAGGTCCAGCCTCGAAATTACCTGCTGATGGCGTGCCACTTTTCCAATGTGGTGTCCTAGAGCATTCAGGAGAGCCGGTACTTGATGTGCCACTAAGGTGGCAGGGCCAAGGCCAGCAACCCTCCGGCCAAATAAGCTTGATGACTGGGGAATGGGAGGAGTAGCTTGACCCAGACTTTGCAGCTTGCAAGCAATGGACTCTATTCCTCCTAAAGAAAGGCCAAGGGAAACTTTGGTTTGGACTCTAGAACAGCGAAAACCCGATGTAAACCTGCAGTTTGGTTAAAAAAAAAAAAAAAAAGCATCAAACTGATCTTGAGTGTTGCCTGTTTTGTGAACTGTATGGGGAATGGTTTCCCAGGTACAGTCAGGGTTAGACAAGGGAGGAAGACAGGAGGAAAACCAAAATATCCACTCATAGCTCACTAAAGAACAAAACAAAAAAACCTCTCTCGGGAACAGGCTTTTGGGTGCCCAGGGCAAACAAGGGTGTTGGTGTCACAGATGACTTACTTAAATTTGGAAGTGACAAATCCCTACACCAAAGAGGATAGGGTGGGGGGCTGTTTCTGTAGAGGGAAACATTTAGAAGCAGGTTTAAATGTAGTGAAATTCCAGTTTAGATTTTTAAATACTTAAGTCTAGTTGTCTGTTTGTGACCTAGAGCAATTATGGAAGCTGCAATGAAGATGGTATAAAGGACTCAGGATGGTTGCTGTCAATTCTTAAGAGTTTTAGGGAAAACATGCCCAAATAATAATTCTTTCCATCTCTCCTTTAAAGTGGAAAATTTACAGCAGTTTGTGTGCTTGGCCCTGTCCAAGGGATTGAAAACTATCTAGGGATGGGGGTGGGGTGAGGGTCACTGGTCAGCAGCAGGAATTCTCTGGGTGTCAATGTCTTAAACCAGAGAGCTTGTAAAGAGGGAAGAAAGATGGAGGTTGGGTGTAGTAATATATGATTTATTAAAGCTCGCCTGAGGATTCAGAATGCAAAGTCAGCCACAAGCCATAGAAGCCAGGTGCACACCTTTAATTCCAGGACTCAGGATTAAGAGGTAGATGGATCTCTGTGAGTCCAAGGCCACCTAGATTTATACAAGATTGATCCAGTCCTAAAGAGAAACAGCTCACGCAAAGATGATATCAGCACCTGGGATCACATGCCTTTAATTCCAGCATTAGGGGGGTATGTAAAACAGGAGCACAGTCTCAGTGTTCCAGCGATGTTGAGAATAGGAACGCCCCAGCCTGGTTAGAAGTAAGGGCTCTCTGGTATCTTGGCTGCTTTGCTTCCCTGACCTTCAGGTTGAACCCCAATATCTGTCTCTGGGTCTTTTATTAATTCATGCTACAGTTGGGAGGTGAGATTATTACCATTTGGACAGGTTGTCCTCAGGGATTGGATCCTTGCCCAGGATTATACTGAACATAGAAGGCCCAGCTACTTTCTGGGAGACCTAATACACATTTTCAGAAGTGCTGAACCTAATTCTGATAAAGTTTGCAAATGCAAAAAGTAAAATAAAAACACTTCTGCAAGGTTCTGAGACCATTAGCTGTTGGCTAAGACAGGCTCAACAGTGGAACTCCAGGAAAAGTTCTCATCTTGTGCAACATCCAAGCATTAGTTTTGTTGTGGGAAGTCCCTTCCACATTCTAAATATGAGGGTAGAGGTGAGGGAACAAATTATAGGACAGGATATCAGTTGCTATATAACCAACCACCCCATAATTTAACAGCTTAAAACAACACTGTCTCAGGGTTGTGTGGTCTCTGAAGCATAGCCTGTGGCTGGAATATCTATTTCCAGGTTCATAGTTGTTTGCAGGCTTCAGTTTCTTATTGTCCTGTAGACATCTTCAAAAGACTGCTCATGACACAACATGGCTTCCCTCATAGTGGTGTTTGCAAAAGATGGAAGAAGGAAGTCTTCCTGTTACAGCGTAATCATGCAGTGATGCAGCATCACTTTTGCTATATTCACAAACCAACCCTGGTTCACTGTGGAATAGCCAAAGACAGGGATCCCCAGGCCTCCTCATTGACATGGGTTCTGAAACGCAAACTGCCATGCTTTTTTTTGATAGTATGAAGTAACAGAGACCTACCTTGAAAAGAGCTGCCACAAAGTGCTCAGTTTATAGAGTTCTATGCTCATTGTTAACGTGCATACATCAGAGCATGGGTTCGAGAAGTTTCTGGAAGTTAAAAATAGCTCTTAATAGTGAAGATAACTCAGACTACATTGCAATAATACAAACCCAGTCCTTAAGGTTACAAAGTGAACTATATTAAGATTTTCGTTAAAACATCAAAGGTCATCTTTTACTTTATATGAGTAGAAATTAATATTTTAGGCATGTCTCACAAAGTGTATTTTGTAATTTAAATATATTTTAATAAAGGCCACTGTCGAGTGAAGGCTCTTCAGAGCAGGTAAATTTCTAATTAATCTGGCAAAGGAAAAGGAGGTAATGTCTGCTGATAATTTCCTATCAGTGCAGTTAGAACTTAGAGGCCAAATGCTTAGAGAAGTGATCTAAAAGACTGCAATACTCCACTCAGTTCATTTACCAATTCTAACAGGAAAGCTGGCCCTACGATACTAGTGTTTAAAGTCATGTTAAGTAACCAATACATTAATAAAAACCAACTCCAAATTATTAGAGTAACGATCATTTCTTTTTTTTTTTTATTAGTTCAAATTAGGAACAAGCTTGTTTCACAAGTCAATCCCTTCTCCCTCTCCCTCCCTTCACCCCTCCTCCCCAACACCCGACCTACCTCCTACCCCCTCCACCCTCCACTCCCCAGGCAGGGTAGGGCCCTCAACGGGGGCTACCCAAAGTCCACCACATCATCCTAGGCCGGGCCTGGGCCTAGGCGTAGGCCCTTCCCTACGTGTCCAGGCCAAGAGTGCATCCCTTCTTACACCAGGGAAAAATACCAATGCACTACCAGGGGCCCCCTAGAGTGCAGAGGCCTCCTCATTGACATCCATGTTCAGGGGTCTGAATCAGTCCTGAACTGGCCTCCCAGACAGCAGTCTGGGGTCGATGTGCTAACAATCATTTCTTAATTCTCCCAGGCAGAATCCTCCCGACCTTAGGAATGTAACCATCTCCAGAGCTCTCCTACTGCTTTAGGAAGCCAGCAACCCTCTCGGATTTAGCAGAGCTAGTTTCCATTAGTACTAGCCACCAACCCCTTAAGTCATTTCCTAGAATTCAGGTGTTTTTGCAGAGTTTAATATGTCACATTTTCTTCAAGTTCGCTGGACTCCCTGATAAAGAAAAGGTTCAAGCTAAGGACCACCTTATCTTTGCAACTATAATGATTCAATTATTTTTCTCAACAAATTCTTTCAAAACTATCAACCACCTGAGTCCCAGGGAGAAGTTGAGTGCAAGCCATACTTTTGGATGGAGAGAGGTACTCCATGGGGTGATGAAGGCAGCCTAGGCAGAAGGCAAGGCCCTTCCTGGACTTCCTCCCCTGGTGCTAAGATTTGGAAGCACCCCTGGAGGTGCAGCTACAAAAAGGAGGCTACAACAAAATACATGTATAGAAGGCTTGCAATATGGTATATGTTGTTCTTTTGTGTGTCTTGTTTTGAAATTAACAACTGTAATAAAAAGTTTCAAAATGAGTGCATGTTTATTATAAAAAGAATATACAAAATACAAAAGCCGAATTCCTTCTGACTATTCCCCATAGCCCCAATTCCTCTCAGAGGTAACGCAACAGACAGACTTAGAAAAAAGGGTTTCCAGACCTCAGTTATTATACAATCCAAACAGCACTATAACATGCTAGGTATTATTAAACACTTTGCTTTTCCATTTATTTGCTTTTGGCAGTGGAGTGGGGGGATCTAATTCAAGACATCATGCATGCTGGGCAAGCAAGTGCCACACCACTGAGCTCCCCCCACTCTCTCAGTCTTTACTTTAGATGTCTTATAGGTAATTCATATTATTGCACTGCAGCATGGGCTCATTCTTTCTAACAGTTACGTGACAGAGTACATAGTACAGACATTCTATGTCGAATTTAGCAGGTCCTCTCTACTGCTGGCTGGGTATCAACACTGTGGTGAGCATCTATTTGTACATACCCTCTACACAGATGCACAGTTCTGCTGAAGAGATGGCTACAGGCTAATGCCTCAGAACAGGCCACACTTGCTTTAGAGCCCTTAAAACAAGAGTCTTCCTTCTCTGTTTCAATGCAATGAAACATTACTAATATAAAGTAGTGGAAGATTTACATCTGTATCTACTTCAATGTCTGGCACAGGGTTGATACTGTGTGTGCTGAATTGATAAAGACAAACTAACTAGACACAGGTATAAAATGAAAGGTTCAGATCTTATACTTTCTACAGTTAGAATTCAGGTTTTCATGGATTAGTGAATCAAGATTTCATGTTTTGTACCTCAGATCTTGAAGGAAGATTTATTTCAGCTTTTTTTTTTTTTTTTTTTTTTTTTTTTTTTTTTTTTTTTTTGCTTTGGCAATGTTGCGAAATAAATGCAAAATCTTGTTTTACTCTTGAAGTCTTCTCAAGGAACTTGAGAAGAGAAAAAAATGAAAGGAGAAAGAAAACATAAGACTGAAAACAAACAGCAACCAGGAAATGAAATTAACCCAAGCTATAGGCACATTTGCATTCATTTGGGTTCTAAAGTCAAAATATATGCCAAATACAGTCCCCCCCCCCATCTAGTCTGCAGAGTCCATCTTGGGCAGGCAGCTGACCAGGAGAAGGAGCGATCTCATCTTTGCTGAGCCTTGGCATGGAACATTTCTTCTAGGCAGTTTTGAGAACACAGCAAAGTCTGGAGGCGACACGAAGCAGTCTAATGGCATCACCTTGGAAACGAGCAGATGGAGGGAAAGGCTGAAGTTAATCTGACTCCCACAGAACACTGCATACAATGGTACAAGGCTTCTACACAGTTCAGGAACAAATAGGACAAAGAGGGGGGCGGTGAATGAATCTATGAATATCTGTAAGAATGATAAAATTTCTCACTTTACAGAGTAAGAGCTTAGCTAAGACTATAATAAGTAGCATTTCTACCAATGGTTTGGGGGCATTAGGCCTAGGCCCTGCACTTGGCACAGAGGACACAACTACTTGAGAGGTGTTGGAACCGTGGGTACTTTTCTTTGTCTCTGGGGGAAAGGAAGCTGAGGACTGATCCAAGGCCTGACATAGTAAGTAAATGTTTCACAACTGTACTGCTCCCCCATTTCTTTATCATTTGTTTCATTTGGAGATAGGGTCTCACTAAGTTGCCCTGGCTGGTCTAGAACTTGGGATCCCCCCACTGCAGCCTTCCACGTAGCTGAGATCACAGGCATAAGCCATCTCATCTGTGCCCTATCCACAGCAAACTGACAGCTGACCTTTTCCAGCTATCCCTTCTGGGACAGTAACCCTAGGCCTCCTCTGCATAGCTCAGTCAAGCTGTTTTCCAGCCAGCCACTGAGAGCTTGGCAATCCCTCGCTTGCCCTCTGTCTCTGGATACTCAAGCATATTTAGTAACAGTTCTACACTCAGGGGGAAATGGTAGGAAATGGCCACTTCACTCTTATCACTAAAGTTTTTCTATTTGGACACTTACATCCCAGCCCACTCTTTGGCGCTATGAGTGAAACTTCCAGGTAGAGGCAGGGGTATAGTACACCTCTGCCAGGGGCAGAACACTCCCTCACACAAACCTACTCCCCACCATGTAAGAAGCTATAGTTCAGGACCAGAAAAAGACTCTCACCTGAGAAACAGCACAAAGTCCCTGGGTGGTAGCAAAACCCAACACAAGACTAGTATGTTTTGACTTTATACATTACACAATTCCAAAGCAATAAATATGGCAGGAAGGAGGAAAGAAAGGAAGAAAGAAATCTCTGAAGCATCATGGGAAAGGTCAGGACAACAAAAACCCTATGTTTTAGAAATGCTTCCCTTTTGCACCGAGGAGGAAGCCTGCCCTGAGGTCAGGCTGACTTCCACATAATATGCCTGAAATTTGTCAAACCACAATGTAAAATAAAAGATAATTATTTCCATTTTTATTATTTGGCAGAAAAATAATGAAACAGTTACTTACATTAACCAGTTTTCTTATAGACTCTAGCCAGGCACAATGAATGTCACAGTAAAAGCTGGGCACCCTGGCATCATCTGAAGGCAGAATGGTTTCTGACTATGTTACAAATAGTATGTTGGTTCACCTAAGAGCAGACCTTAACTTCAGGTATATCAGGCTGACATGCATATAGAGAGTTGAGGCTTCACAAGTATTCGAGCCAATAATGAGAGAATAAACTCTTGGTCTCCTGTCCTTTCTTTGGTAAAGTTTGCATGCTTGCTTATTTCAAGACAGGTGTAGTCCTGGCTGTCCTGGAACTCACTCTGTAGATCAGGCTGGCCTCAAACTCACAGAAACTCCACCTGCCTCTGCCTCCCAGATGTTAAGTTTAAAGGTGTGCACCACCATACCCAACCTTCATTTGGAATAGTAAGGGCACAGGGAAAGCAAGTGAGACTGTTGGCTCAATGTGGCTTTACATAAGAAAGGGATGAGGCTATTATTGTGTCCCTCTTTACCATCCTGAACGTAAACTCACCTCAAGCCTCTCTTTCAGGTGTCTGTCTCTCATCAGCCTCTGAAATTTCTTTTTGATGCTGTAGATGGAGGCTGTCTAGCTTCTGGATGTCTTCTGTAAGGCCATTTCTGAGATCTGAGTTGTTTCTCAGAAACGCTTTTACCACATCCAGTTGATTTGAGATCTGCAAGAGGAAGGCGTACAAAGTGTTGCTCAGGCTCATTTTTACAACAGAACTCACTTCAGATGGAACACTGAGTAGTTTCAAGATTGGCTCCCAAGGCTGGAGCTGGAGCTCAGCAGCAGAAGCATGCCCCTCAACAGATTTGTTCCTGTCTAAATGTCTTCCAGGAGACAGACACACCAGCCACACACAGGTTAAGTCTGCAAACCAAAAACAAATTCTTTAAAACAAGGTACACTCATGCCATGTGTGGGAGCTCAAACCTTTGTCTCAGCACCGAGGAGGCAGAGGCAGATGAATCTCTATGAGTTCAAGCCTAGCCTGCTCTACATACTGAGTTACAGGCCAGCTAGAGATGCATTTCTGAAGAAAAAAAAAACTAATAAAACAAGCTCCTTCCACACAAACCAAACATGACCCAGTATCGCTAAAATAAGACCACATAGAGGGTGTTTGCATATCATCTCAAATTTCTTTGCTTCAAAACTTAGAATTTATATGCAGAGTGTTCATCTTATACTTTTGAGTTTTTGTGCCTATACAAGTATTACTGATAGAAGAGACATAAAATGCTATAAAACAGCATTAAATGTTCAGATACAAAATTCCTAGTCAACAGGGCATGAGGTAAAAAAGTCAACACTCTTAAATCTGTCCCTAGTTATGCCATTCTTGTCTTTACAGGTGACATATATTAACTAGCCATCTTATTTCTTTGCCCGTCCCCCCCACCAAGACACAATTTTTCTGTGTAACATCTCTGGCTGTCCCAGAACTTGCTTTGTAGGCCAGGCTGGACTTGAACTCAGAGAGCCAACTGCCTCCTGAGTGCTGGGATTAAGACTGTGCCACCACCACCCAGGCTGTTATATACTTTAGACTTGCCTTAAATATAAGATCCTCCTTCCTTAAGTATCATTATTTTGTTAGATTTATTTTATGTTTTATGCATGTATGCATACTATGTGTGTTTGTGTGATATCTGCAGAGACCAGAAGAGGACATCATATCCCCCTGAAACTGGAGTTATAGATGGCTATCAGACATCATGTGGGTGCTGGAAACCAAACCTGGGTCCCCCCCAAGAGCAGCCAGTACCCTAACCCTGATTTTTACATCTGAATAGTATTTCAATTATGGAATGTCCATTTTTCAACACATTCTGAACCTTTTGTTTAGAAAACCATGTGGAATTTACTGTTACACATGTGTGACTTGCACAAGTGATGTTCCTGTTTAAAGAAATAGAAGGCAGCTTTAATTCTAATTGGGTAGAGTCTTAGTTTTTAGTAGAGTTAGCCAGAAGTGCCATGTACAGAGGTTATACTGATTTAAATTCTCCAACAACATACTTTTCATCATTTTATCCAACACAAGGAATCTCAGAGTAGTACTATGGGTGTGTCTGCACTGGGCTTATCCCAGATTGCCTTCATCATTGCAATCATTAATATATTAACTACTATATTAAAATGCCAGGTATTATTACTACTATATTAACAGTGCTGGGGAATTGAACCCATTGTGAAATATTTATTTAACTAGGCAAAGATGTGTTACATTTGTTTATGCTGCATTTGTTTAACTATGTAAAGATGTGTTGTATCTGCATTAATTAAATAAAATTAACCTAGGCTCAGAGAGGTGGGGTTAGCAACTAGTTGACAGGAAGTATCAAGGAGGAGCATGTGTAGGTTTTTTAGTTGGGGCAGTGTGGAAGGAGAGTGGCTTCTGGGGACTCCAGCTAAGATAGAAAGTTAGCCAATTGCTACTCTAACTCTGAGCTCTCAGGTTTTCACCCTAGCTCTTGAATCGAGTTTTATTACAATGCTAGAGATTTAGTTAAAGCTATCTTTAGCAGCAGCATCAGAGCCATTGTCTAGAGGAACAGAATTCCTCCCCAGGCTACATACAGCCTTAGTAGCCTGCTGCTAGTAGTTTAAAGCACAGCCACTGTGACTACCACATAACACTGTAGGGCCCTGCACTTGCCTACCATTGAGCTAAATCTCTAGCCCCTAATTTGGGGATATAGCATGTTTACTAGATGGAGACCACCAACTCCAGATTATTTCAACTCTAACAAGGAATACTAGTACAGCAGGCCACACAAGAGTGGAAAGGCAGCTCTTCAGCAGAAAGAAGAGATTAGGAAACAACAGGACCAGTGTGGCATCTCAGCCTGCTTTCAGTTATAAGACTCCAATAGCCAGACACTAGATGCTGACTGGGGATGTGGGAGGGAAGACAAGCAAGGCTGTGAGCAGAACAACCGTGAAGCAGGGAGGGGCAGGCAGCTACTGAAGATGATAGGAGGCCTGCTGACTGGTTAGAGAGCAGACAGAGAGTATGCCCTTCAGGTTTGAGGTGTTAATTGGAAGACTGAAAGCCTGCCTAGAGCCCTCACAACATGCCAGGCTTTGGCTATCCCTTGGAAACACAAAATGTGAAGAAAAGAACACTATTGGTCATGGCATGTGTCTAGATTGTGTGCGGTGCCCTGGCCAGAACACAGGGCTGTCTGCCATGTGTAGCTAGTGCAGGTACCCTGTCAACCAGCCCTGCATACCACACTAAGCTCTTCACAGGACTCATGGTCCTCCCTAGGGCCTCTTCTTCCTCAGTTTCCTACGAAATGTGAGTCTGCAGTCCCCATATGGGGTTGCTCCCTTCCACTTAGCTCCTTTTTTTGCTTAAAGGGTTTTTTTTTTGTTTTTTTGTTTTTGTTTTTGTTTTGTTGTTGTTTTTCAAGACAGGGTTTCTCTGTGGCTTTGGAGGCTGTCCTCTGCCTCTGCCTCCAGTGTGCTGGGATTAAAGGCGTGCGCCACCAATGCCTGGCTGCTTAAAGGTTTTATGCAGAACCCTCTGGTCCTCCTCCACAGCCTGCTCCAGTTTTCTGTTCCAAACTGGTTTGCTTTCTCATTTCCAGTTGGAAGCAGAGCTTCAATCTTTCCCTTTTGTGAAGGCAATAAACATATAAATGTGTTTAAGAGGTATTCACAGCTCCATTAGGAGTGAATACTCCAGCCTGAAGGCAAGGAAGATAAAAAGGAAGTCTTTGTCCTGGTATGTGTCTCAAAACAAACAAGAAGACAGCCTGAGCTCCATCCTCAGTATTGTAAAATTTAAGTGATTAAAACATTTAAGAACAGAAGCAGGATGGTGGTGGTAGGTGGATCTCTGTGAGTTCGAGGTTAGCCTGGTCTACAGACTGAATTCCAAGACAGTCAGGGCTACACAGAGAAACCCTGTCTCAAAAAACCAAACCAAACAGACCAATAAATGAATGAATGAATACATTTTTAAGATTGGTAATCTAGGTGTGATATACACACCAAGGTTAGCACTTGGGAGATGGAGGCAGGAAGATCAGGAGTTCAAGGTCATCATTGGAGGTAGTCTGGAGGTAGCCTGAGCTACAGGACACTCTCTGAAAGAAAGCCAAAAACCAAGAAACCAAAAATTGGGTGGAGTGGGGAAAAATGGGAAGCTTGTGCATTTTCATGTAAAGAGGAAGAGGAAGGAAAGTTCTAGAAAATTGTAGTCATATTTTTTTTCCCGGGACAGGGTTTCTCTTTATTGCTCTGGAGGCTGTCCTGGCACTCTGTAGATCAGGCTGGCCTCAAACTCATGGAGATCCACCTGCCTCTGCCTCCCAAAGGCTGGAATTAAAGGCATGCACAACCAACGCCTGGCTTACGTTTTATTACTTTAACTAGCCGTGTGACTTTGGGTAGGATGACTCCCAACTCTCTTTCACATACACAAATTAATGATTTAATATGGCCTAGAAGATTTTGGGGAGGTGGATTCAAGAGTCAATCTGTTAAAAATATTTTAGCATTGTGTCTGGCACACATTCATTAAAAAAGGCTTCAGTTACTAAAAGTCAGTTAACTGTGTGCTTGCCTATTATTCCAGGTAAAGGGCACTAACAGTGTCACCCCTCCAGCCACTTCACATTCCACTTGTGACCACCTCACCACCTGGTCTGTTGAACAAAAAGGCATAGAAAATAGAAATTTACCTTTTCTATGTAGAGACCTGGTGCCCCTTTCTTGACTCAAACAGGTAAGCAGAGCTAGAAATGTCCAGTAGCCAGTGCCTCTGAGGTAGCAGACCTGCTGCTCACGGAGGGCTATGCATTTATAACACTTATTTCCTGCTAATCTGAAAAGCTCTTCTGCTTACAAAAATGCAGCATTCCCCTACTGATTTCAGGGACTGAAGTCCAAAACAGCTTGGGGTGGGTGGCACAGAAAACCTTTCAAAATAGTTTCACCCTACCTTGCCACACTCCTCCCTGATAATCCCACTTGTGCTTTCTGGGCCACTACTCATCCTTTCACATCTCTGCTAAGAACATCCATGCTCCCAGGCCAACTACTGACCTCTTACAACCCTTGAGTTGTAGCTCAATAGCATCTTTTCCCTTTTTCCTTGCAAGCATGTGTGGGGGTGGGGGTGAGTGAGGGGTGGGGTAGGGGGGATGGAATCTCCCTGTGAGCTGATAAGCCATCCAGTCTCTTGTTCCAAATTCTATTTTAACTCTTATGTCATTATTCCACTTGGGGCACATATTAGGTCCTCAAATATATGCTAAGTGAAAATACCTGTTAAAATATATTATCAGGCTGGGAGGTGGTAGCTCACGCCTTTAACTCAGGATGAACAGGCAGGCAGATCTCTATGAGTTCAAGGCTAGCCTAGTCTACAGAGTGAGTTTCAGGACAGTCAGGGCTGTTACACAGAGAAATCCTGTCTTGAAAAACAAAAAAGCAAAATAATAGTGTGTGTGTGTGTGTGTGTGTGTGTGTGTGTGTGTGTGATCATTCATATATATGAGTGATCTGAGGCCAGGCTGTGGAGGCACATGCATTTAATCCCAGTATTTGGAAAGAAGAAGGTGATCTCCAAGTTTGAGGCCAGTCTGGTCTACAAAGTGAGTTCCAAGACAGCTAGGGCTGTTATAGAGAGAAACCTTGTTTGAAAAAACCAAACAAAGCCAAATGAAACAAAAGAACAAATATATGATCAGTAAACATTGGAAGAATATGTACTTCTAGAAATCACCTGGAAATCTAGAAATCTCTGTGTCTGTCCTGACTGGAATTTTATGTCAACTTGACACATGCTAGAGTTATTTTGGAAGAGAGAAGAGCCACAATTGAGAAAATGTTTGCACTAAACTGGTCAGTGGGCAAGCCTATGGGGCATTTTCTTGATTAAGGATTGATGTGGAAGGGCCCAGGCCTAAATCAATATGGGTGGTAAGAAAGCAGGCTGAATAAGCCAAAAGGAGCAAGCCAGTAAGCAGCATCCTCCATGGCTTCTGCTTCAGTCCCGCCCTGACTTCCCTCAGTGATGAGGTGCTTTTGTCATGGTGTTTGTCACAGCACTAGAGACAGTATCAAAACTAGCAGCTGCTGCGGCTGCTGTCACCGCCTCTCTTGCACTTCCTCCCTCCCTTTACCTCTTCTGGCAACACCTCTTCTTCTGCTGCTTGAAGATACATCTCTTGCAGCTTTTCCTTCAGCAATTCCATTTCAATTTCATGGATTTGGCTCACACTCAAGTAACTTCCCATTTCAAATTCACATCCATCTCGTTCATCTTCCTCAGGAATGTGCACAGCCCAGTCAGATGTCAACAGCTGTGGGGTGACCACACAAATACATGAACAAACTACTTTTTAAAGCCTGTTTTTTTTAATGAATTCTTCCAGAATTTTATACATGTACACAATGTATTTTGATCACATTCACTCCTATTCCTCCCCAACTTCTCCTGGATTCACCCTTACATTAAAAGTTCATTCGTGAGATGCATCACTGTTTGCAGTGTTGGGGATGGAACTCAGGGAGTAACTGTGATACACAACTAACCTCCCACCAAGCCACGCCCGCCACGCCCACAGCTACTTGTATGTAATAATGGAGAGCTTGTACAACCTGAGTTTCATCCCTGATCTCATAAGGTGAAAGCAGAAAACACACTCCCAAGAGTTGTCCTCTGCTCTCCACATGCACTGTGACATGCACATGTCTGTGTATGTGTGTACACTTGTGCACATCACTGTGGGCACACATACACACACCCACAAAATAAATGAACTATTTTAACGGAAAAGAAATTCTACTGGATAACTCAAAGAATTTATAATAAAATACCATTACCTAGACCTATTTTAACCACACACTGTTACTGAAGAAAAACACAGCTTGTTAATTTCACAATTTATTCCAGTATAAAAATTCCACATTTTACACCACATTTGGGGCTGGGGCTGCAGTTCAGTGAGAAAGTACTTGCCATGTGTGAGGCCCAGACCTAGATTTACCCAAGTAGGCCCTCCAGATAACAGAATAAAGACGAGGAGTATAGTGTGCTTGCATGGCATTCATGAGGATCTGTGTGCATTATCATCAGCATTGAAACAATAATAAATATATTCTAGTTTAAATAAACATCAAATTCATCTTTCTGTTTGAGGCAGGCTTCCCAGGAACTTACTATGTAATAAAGGCCAGCTGTGAAATAAACAGCCATACTGTCTCTCAAGTGATGGAATTTACATGTACCACCATATCTGGCTTAACATCAAATTCTAAATGAATGACTATGAATGTTTTTGACCCCTTAGGTTTGTATACCAGGACTGTTAAATGAAGTTTCAGATGGCCGTGGTGGCCTATAATCCCATCACTCACTAAGCAAAGTGCACATGAGTGAACAGCCTGGTCTACATATCAAGTTCCAAGGCCAGGTGGTGCTACAATAAGACCTTGTCTCAAAAAACCCCCAAATGACTCTATAAAGATCTTTACCTGTTCTATTCTGGAATGTACTGCTACAATCTCTGGAATATTCTTGAATTCATTCAGAAAATTTTGAATCTTTATCTGAAAATCCCGAAGCCATGTAGATGATACCTTCATCTCTGAAGAGTGCATTATCTCATTCCGACACTTAATTAGCTACAGAAAAACAAAAATGAAGTTGGGCTGGTATGGCTTAGCAGGTAAAGGTGCTTGTTGTGAAGCCCAAGAACCTAAATTCAATCCCTGGAACCCATACAGAAGAAGGTATGGTGGACTGAATGAGAATGCCCCACACAGGTTTATGTGTTTGAATAGTTGGTTCTGTTAAAGAATTGCTTAGGAAGGATTAGGAGGTATGTGGCATTGTTGGAAAAGATGCCTCACTGGGGTCAGGCTTTGTTGTTTTCAAAACACTCAAACCATTCTCTACCTCCTGCTGTTCTTGCTGCCATGACTTTATTCCACCATCATGGTCCCTAATCTCTCACACCGTCAGCGCAGCCCAATCAAATGTTTTCTTTTATATGTTGCCTTGGTTTGCAGAAATAGAAAACTAATTAATATAGAAAAAGAAAACTAACTACTCCAAGCTGTCCTTTGATTTCCATATGTGCACAGTGGCACAGGCCCTCTTCCTTAACAAGCAAAGAAATGTGATAATAAATTGCAAATAAATGTAATTTATTTTAAAGCTTTCTAAGTTAATAGAGTAATCTGAAACATTTTAGCTCTAAAAAGAAATTATAGAAAGACTTTGCTAAACTATAAAATTGAGCAGTGTGGTATCCAGAGGCCAAGGCTTAGACATTTCATGAGACTTGCATAATCTAGTATGTACTTAAAATGGCATACAGGACAATGAAGCCCTCTAGCCCCTAAGTCAGACCTTTATTTTGTGCCTGCCCAGAGAGCATTTATCAAGCAGTGAAGTCTCTTTTGGTCATATACTGAAATACTCTCAAGGGTCAGGTGACACCTTAGTGAAGCCGGTTTTGATACAGGTAGAAAGATGAAGGAAGAAGGGATTGGCATGAAGTGGATAATGGGCATCCCATCTAAAGCAGCAGTTTTCACTCAACTTGTGGCTTGTTGCTATGGGAGGTTTATGAACTCAGTGTCACCAGGTCTTCTTATTTTTTTATTTCAAAGATAGAAATTCAGATTTAATGACAACTAATTCAAAAGTTGTTTTTAAAGTAACTAGGAAGGAACTGGCAAGATAGTTCAGTGGGTAAAAAGTGCTTGTCACCAAGCCTGACAACCTTCCATCCCTGGAACCCACATGATAGAAGGAGAGAATTGACTTTTCAAAGTTGTCCTCTTACATGACCACATCTATATATACACTCAATAAAGAGATATATGGCACTTGGTGGTTAAGAATACTTGTTGGCCAGGTGGTGGTGGCACATGCCTTTAATCCCAACACTCAGGAGACAGGTGAATCTCTGAATTTGAGGCCATCCTGGTTTACAGAACTAGTTCCAGGTTAGCCAAGGCTACAAAGAGAAACCCTGTCTCACCTCCCCCACCCCCAAAAAAGTAAGCACTTCTTGCTCTTGCAAAAAACCTAGGTTCAATTCCTAGTACTCACACGGTGTCTCACAACCTTCTGTAACTCCAGCTCCAAGAAATCTGATGTCCTTTTCTGACTTCCAGAGGCACCAGGTAGACACATGGTGCACATACATACATGTAGGCAAAAGTCATACACATATAATAAAATGATGAAAAATTAAAAATATACTAATTTTGTAAACTCAGATAGGACAAATAAAGTAGACCTACAAGCCAGATTTTGGTTATAGAATACCATCAAGGATTAAAGAATTATTCAATCCACTGACACACAAATATCAATCAAGGTAGAGTACTATAAACAAGGGGCTAGAGAGGAGACTTGGTGGTCAAGAACATTTGCTGTTCTAGAGAAGCCAGGTTTGATTCCCAACACTTACATGGAAGGTAACAACATCTATACCTCCAGTCCAAAGGACCCTGACATCCTCTTCTGGCCTCCACTGGCACTGCATGCACATGCTGCACACACATACATGCATACACAACACCCATATACAGAAAATAAAAATAAATTTCTCTCTCTAAAAAGAAAGAAAGAAAGAAAGAAAAGTTGACAGTCATCGTGGCATGCGATGATAATGACAACACCTGGGAGGAAAGAGAATCGTGAGTTCAAGGCACATACAGTGACACCTTGTCTCAAAAAGAAAACAAACAAGAAATACAAAGACATGTGCCACCTCCACCACCCTGTGTTTTTTGTTTTGTATATGTGTGTTCTGTGCATGTGTGTAGAGGCCAGATGCTGACAATGGGTGTCTTCCTCTATCACCCTTCACCTGACTTTTGAGATAGGGTCTCTCTGTGACTTGGAGCATACTGATTCTGCTAGACAAGTTTCAGGGATCCTACTGTCTCTGCGCTTGTCCCCAGTACTGAGATGACAGATGAGCATTGCCAAACCCACCTTTTACACAGGTGCTCAGAATCTGAATTTAGGTTCTCATGTTTGCACAGCACATACTTTACTGACTGACCCACCTCCTCAATACCTCAGGCCTATTTTTTTATACAGAAAACGACTTTGCTTCTATTTATGGCAGAGCAGAGAAGATAAATCTGAGCTCTATGTACTTAACAGCAGTGTGGTGGCTTAAATGAAAATGGCCCCAGTAGTTTCACTCCAGCCTTCCCAGTATTGTCCAGACTGGTTGGCATCAGTTCTGAATCTGACAGCTCTTACCTCTGTGACTTTCTTCCGGTCAACCATGAAGTGATCACAGGAATTGATGAGACTTAAAAGAGCAACTGCATCACATTCCTCGGGTCCTCGTTTGTCTGCCAGTCCTCGAGGCATGAAGGCCTATAGTAAGGGTAGGTAGTAGGTTACCTGGTGTCCTCCAATTCTGAGGGCTAGAGAGGCAAAGTCTTTCTCTATTTCCCAACTGATGACTAATGTTCTCTTATTCCCCAAAATTTCAAGCTAGAACATCATGAGTTCAAAATACAAGTGGGGAAAATCATATCACTCTATGCCTTGGCAAAGGCACTAACTGAAGGACTGCACTATCCCTCTGCAATATTACATATAGCTGATATAACTGGCTTTCAGTCTTTTCCTTTTGTTTTGCTCTTTTGAGACAATCTATATAGTCCTGGTATCCTGAAGCTTACTATGTAAACCAGGGTGGCCTCAAACTCTCTGAGATCTCCCTGCCTCTGTCTACTGAGTGCTGGTATTGAAGACATTCACCACCATGCTTAGCCGCCAGTCTTTATTATTTTGAGAGAAATCTATGTTTCCCTGACTGGCCTGGAACTCACTCTGCAGACTAGACTAGCCTTGAACTCACAGAGACCCATCTCCCTGTCTCCTTAGTGCTGAGATTTAAGGTGTGCACCACCAGCTTCTGTGCTATCTTAGAAGTACATATCAGAAATGCTTTTTTCCCTTTTTTCTTGGTCAAACTGCAGTGTCTGTGTCATTAAAGAACATTAAGCAGTTCCTTAGTGACTTGAGAAATTTCTATCCCTCACCATCAGAACCTGGAGTGTATACAGCCAGGCTCAAATGCCAGCTAGGTTACTGTTTTATGGCCTTAGGCAAGTTACCTAATCCTTATTCTCTGTCAGTCTTTAGGGGTAAGTATCTTCATCCACATCAAAGGATGGGGTGAGGAGGAAGATGCGGAGAGCACAATGCCTAGCACATGGTATAAAGACATCAGCAACTCAGTAATTATGACATCAATTGTGTAAGGTGAATAGGTCCCACACATGGCATAGACAGGGAGCTTAGGACTGAGACAACAGACATATTGTAGCACCATCCTGCCTCAAGCTGAATCTTCTAAAATGAGTTGCGCAAATGCTGTGACAGCAACACTTGAATATACTTCTTTCCTGAAATATCTGCAAACTTAATACCTGGATGCAGAAACTTTATTTACCAGACTAGGAGTCTCAAGGTACATTCCTGGTACAGGAGAAGAGCATCTGCTAGAGCAGATGACACATGAAAAATTACTCTTATTTGGGAGTAGTGATATGTGCAAGTCTGTGAGTTTGAGGTCAGCCTGGTCTACACAGACTTCTAGGCCAACCAAGGATACATAGAGGACTCTGTCTCAAAAGAAAAAAAACAGACATTCTCAGTCCAAACTCTTATTAAGAGATATGTTCCACTGAAAGCAAACAATCCAGTTAGGAAGCAGCTATGAAACTTATTGCAGGATGTTTGTACTAGTATTCCAAAGGCTGGCAGGAAGCGCAGGGAGTGCCAGAGTCAAGGTTATTAAGTTCTCCAATGGTAGGAGAACCCCATAGCAGAGCCTCCCATAACTCAGAATTCAAACCTCAGGATCATCAAACTCTTCCGGGTCTATTAGGGATGCTACAGAAGTTAACAAAGAAGCTAACCTAACAGGTGACTGATATAAGGAGACAGAAGAAATCAAAGAGCTCAATACAGCTGTTGCTGAAAGGAAAATGCAGTTAGAGGAAGCCTCGGTGCCTCTAAATTGGCCTAGCTCTTTAAGATCCAGAAGCCAACAGGGATACTCTATGGCCTCCTTAGAGTCCTGCACCAGCATATTCCTCTCGGTAAACACAGCAGAGAAACACCTACAGCAGCCTCTCTGCCTTCTGCTGTCTCTTCACTGTGGAGAAATGAACTAACACTCTCTCTCTCTCTCTCTCTCTCTCTCTCTCTCTCTCTCTCTCTCTCTCTGTGTGTGTGTGTGTGTGTGTGTGAGAGAGAGAGAGAGAGAGAGAGAGAGAGAACCCATGGGAGGTCAGAGGCCTCAAATTCTGTAGTACTGGGGTTACAGGCAGTTACGAGCCACGAAACATGGGACTGACTGAGTCTCTGCTATGGCTGAGGGCCAGTTCTGCCAGCAGCAGAGACGAACACTAACCTTGATTTGACACTACTACCCACAAGTATTCTACAAGTTAACAAACCAATCAAACTCCTATGTGAAAGGCCATACATCTCACTGTGTGTAGAACCATCCAGAGTTGCCAAAAATATTATAGAGGGCCATGTGGGTGGCTGTGGCCAGAAACTAGGCATAAGATAGAGAGCTGTGGTGTAGAGGTGGGAAGGACAAGGACTCCAAAAACGCAGGTGCAGCAAGAGGGAAAAAGATGAAATAAGAACGATTCTAGGAACAGGCTGGAGCTGCAGCCCTGTGGTACAGTGCTTACATAGCATGTAAACAGAAACAAGAAAAAGAAGAATGAATATTCTTGGAATGGCAATCAGGAGGGTAAACCCTCCTATAGAACTAAATACCAAGTTCTGAGGAGATAAAGGGGTCAGGTAAGCAGCTGGATATGCACATCTGTAGCTCAGAAGAGTAGGTAGGGGTAGGGTCATTGCTAGAGAGGATAAGTAAAGGCAGAAGGAGAAGATGCCACAAAGGCAGGGATGTTTAAAAATAAGTGGCCAGTTGAGAGTGTTGCAGGCCCCTGAGAGCATGAAGCTAAGAGCTGTGTGTAGGGCACACCTGTAAAACTCATAGTTGAGAAGCAGGGGTAGGAGGATCAAGAGGCCAACCTGGGCTACATATCGATACTATCTCAACAAACCCAGGGTTTGGGGGAGTAGCTCAGTGTTGAGTGATTTCTTAGCAGGTACAAAGTCTTGGGTTCCATTGTCAGCCTTGGGGGGGGGAGGCTGAAGAAGAGAGGTCAAAGATGCAGTGTAAGGGCAGGGACAGAAGCCAGGGTTGCATGAGTTGAAAAACATGTGGAAGCTAAAGAACAGACAGATACCAACTCCTCTTTTTGAGGAAGTTCTGCTAAGTAGATATATGGAAGGCTGATAGAGAAATGGGGATATAGCTGGAATTTTATTTTGTATTTTAATTGTATTTTCAAGTGGTTATAAATATAACTCCACTAGAGTATGATATACTCCCTTGAAGTATGTAAATCAGAGATTTTCAGTCTAATAGCTTTTAGCAACCGTCACTGTGGGCAATGCTAAAGACTTCCACCATCCTCCCAAAGAAACCTCATATCCATAAGGGGTCACACCCCTCCTCTCTAGGCCCTAGAGCTGTTAAAACTAGTTCTGCCTCCACAGATGTACCAATTCTGCACAATTCATGGTATGTGACAGGTTTCAGGTTTCTTTCATTTAGCATGTTTTCAAGATTCAACCCTATTGTACTTTGCATACTTCATTCCTTTTCCTTTTTTAATGGCAAAATGCTATTCCTCTGTCTGGACTCTGTTTATCCATGCATTGCCTGGTAGATCATTGGACTGTTTCTACCTTCTAGCTATTGTTTATAGTCCTGCCATGAACCCGTGTATGTACATGCTTTCATTGTAGATATGTACTTTCATATTTGGGGGTGTTCTAGTGGGGAGAAGGATTGAAATTAGGGGTTCATTCATGCTAAGCAAACCATAGCTGTGATTCTTTTTATCTTATGTGTACATCTAGGAATAGGACTGCCAGATTATAGAATAATTGTTTAATCCTTTGGGCTAGCTAGTTTTATGACAAATTAACATGAGCTAAAATCATCTTAAGAGGGAACCAAAATAAAGAAGGTGTCTCCATAAGCACTGACTGCAAGCAAGCCTGCAGGGCATTCTCTCTCCCTTTCTCCCTTTCTCCCTCTCTCCCTCTCTCTCTCTCTCTCCCTCTCTCTCTCTTTTGTTTTTTAAGACGGTTTTTCTGTGGCTTCCAAGGCTGTCCTGGAACTAGCTCCAGTAGACCAGGCTAGATCTGCCTGCCTCTGCCTCCCAAGTGCTGGGATTAAAGGGGTTCGCCAGGAACACCCGACTAGGAATTTTCTTAATCAGCGATTGATGGTACCAGCTCATTGTGGGTGGTATCATCCCTGGGCTGGTCCTGGGTTCTATAAAAAGCAGGCTGAGCAAGTCAGGGGAAGCAAGCCAGTAAACAGCTCCCCTCCATGGGTCTCTGCATTGGCTCCTGCCTCCAGGTTCCTGCCCTGACTTCCTTTAATAATGAATAGTAATGTGGAAGCACAGGCCAAATAACACCCCCCCCCAAGTTGCTTTTGGTCATGGTGTTTCATCACAGCAACAGTAACCTTAACTAAAAAACAACCCTTCTTTTTGAAAAATTACATAAACTAAAGTCATTTGTATGGTGATGGGAATAAGATGGGAAGCAAGAGTGGACAGCTAAAGATTTAAAGACCTTGTGTAGATGGGAGGAGAACCAACACACAAGTGGAGGGACGGGGCAAGAGAGCTGCTTTAGAGCAGGAATTGAATTCTTGGTCCAAAGGAAAGACAAATCGGTGCTTGGGGCATCTATCATCTCATGAAGCAGGACCAAGGCTAGCAGCTGGGATGAAGGAGGGGGAATGGGAAGAAGAGTTTGGTGAGGGAAGGCACGAATGGACAACTCCAGCAACAGAAGCCCACAGAGAAGCCTGCCCAAAACATTAGAGCTCAGGACCAAGAACAAAGTGAAGCCAGTGAGCTCCCTTAAGAGATTCTTCTTAAGTAAAAGCATATGATCAGTGCCAGTTGGGCAAGGCAGGTTCAGAGAACAAAAATAATAAAGATAAAATTACAAAGGAGTTATAACGATGGACAGTGAGAACTAGGCCACCGTGACAAAGCCAAGCAGAAGGGAGAAGATTATCCAGTACTGAGAAGCAGAGGCAAACAAAAAGCAGGGTCAAGTGTTTGAGGAAGAATGGCAAAAGCAAGGCCAAATTAGATATGAAGACTTTCTGTGTGGACAGGGATGGGGTGAGGGCATACAATGGGGCACTGAGGTAGAGTAGAACAAGGATGCTAAGTCAGGGAACCCAGGAACTGAGACAATGGAGCTAGATACGGAATGTATACACAAGGTTGAACTAAGTGACCAGCAAGCAAGGGAAAGAAAGGCTGACAAGAGCAAGTGGCACAGGCTGCAGAGGGCGATAAAGCTATGAAAGCTGTAACAGAGACTAAAATAAAAGGGAGAGTTTTATTTATTTCTTCCAGGTATTTTTCCTGTATGCCCTAGGTAAAGGTAGAATTTGGAAACACTATTGCAGACAATAAAAGACAGTGGTGTTGGTGCTGGTGTTGGTGTTGGTGCTGGTGCTGGTGGAGGATGGGGCTGAAAAGATGGCTCAGTGGTTAAGTGGACTTAATGTTCTTCCAGAGGACTGGAGTTTGGTTCCAGTCACCCATGTTGGGAGACTAACAACCACCTGTTGCTCCAGTTCCAGTGGATCCAACTCCCTCTTCTGGCTCTAGTGAGCATCAGAACACAGGTGACATACACTCACACATTAACAGGGTCTCTCTATTTAGACTAGCCATGTAGGCAAGGCTTAAACTCAAGAGATCTGTCTGTCCCTACTTCCCAAGTGTCGGGATTTCAGGCAGGCACCACCAAGCCTGGCCCAACAGAAATTTTTTTAAAAGTTTTATTTATGTGCATTGGTGTTTTGCATATATGTGTATGTATGAGGGTGTCGGGTACCCTGGAAATGGAGTTACAGAGTGTTATGAGCTGCCATGTGGGTGCTGGGAATTGAACCCAGGTCCTTAGGAAGAACAGCCACTGCTCTTAACCACTGAGCCATCTCACTAGCCCCCAACAGAAACTTTCTAACCTTAAAAGAAAACAAGAGAAAGCTGGATATAATGGTACATATCTGTAATCCTAGGCACTTTAGAGATGGAAGCAGGATGATTAAGAGTTCAAGGCTAGCCTGGGTTGCATGAGACCTTGTCTTAATAAACTAGATAAAGACAATAAGAACAGAAGTAGACCAAACACATTAAATGCAAACCTGGCAATGCTCTGTTCCACCTGCCAATTGTTTGCTTGCTCATACACTAACTCATAAACTCAATTTGTGTGCCCCTCCCTCCACTCACTACTGAGCTTCCAGGAAATATCAAGAAATCAAAACAAATTCCCAATCAGCTCAGGCAGTAAGTCACAGTACCAAAATCTAAAGACATGTCTAACTACCTCTACCTCATAATTCATCACACTTTCATCTTCTAGAATTTTGTACCTTAGCTAAGCACTCCATGGCCAAAATGAGGCTTTTAGTGAGCCCACCTTAATGCACACCTTATCTGTTCTTCCATGTCTCCCAGTCTGTATTGTTTCCCCTTCTTTTGAGACAAGGTCTTAAACTATATACACCAGGATATCCCCAAACTGCAGCAACCCTGCCTCGGCCTCTCCAGTGGTGGAATTATAGGTGTAAGCCACTGCACTCGGCTTTACTATACGTCTTGTCCCAGCATATTTCTTTCTTTCTTTCTTTCCTTTTTTTTTTTTTAGTTAAAAGACACAATTTTCTTTTTCTTGGTTTTGTTTTGTTTCTCAATGTGTAGGGCATTTGCTCAGAGGAAGGTAATACATTCCTAACCCTCCTCACAAAATGACCAGATTCTATTGGGTGTGTTATAGACAGAGAGGCCATTCTTCAGACCCCCTGCTCTGAGCACACCTCAGCACCAGCATTTCTTATTGAAATATTTACTATAGTTTTCAAGAAGCAAAGCTCAAATGCTTTCAGGAAGCAAAGAGATAAAAGTTTCTATTTTACTGTGCTGGGATGGGTCCACTCTAACAGCCTTTAACCCCTAGAACACTAGGACAACCAATCTTAGTACCTGTAGTTTCTGAAGTCCCCGCCTGCACTCACAATCCACCCTCTGCCCTGGAGGAGCAGGTGATTTGCCTTCTGCTTTCCTCAGGACTGCAAGTGCTTACCTTGGCTACCTCCCAAGCGTCCACAGGCCAGAGGCCAGGCCGGCAGTTTCCCCAGTGCACGTCTCCATTTCTGTTGATGTGATGCCTCAAGATCTCACGTTTCCACTCTATGCACACCTGACACTGAGGCTGAAACTGCAGGGGGCAGAGATGAGGCAGGATCCAGGAAATAGGAACAGCCTGGGAGCGGTGAACAGCCCCGCCCCTCAAAAGAAAAAGACAAGCACAGGAAACTGGGGACAGGCTGGGGATATGTGTCCCAGCCCTGGGCCAGCAGCTTACCTGGCGAGCTCGCGGGTTGCATCGGGAACCGCCGCGGCAGGTGGCGTTGGGACCAAGGCCGGGGACTGCAGTAAGCAGTCTGCGATGGAAGGAGAGCACCTCGCGGCCGACGAAGCCCTGCAGGCAGCTGCGCAGCAGCAGCAGGCAGTGCCCTGCCTTCACCCAGTTTTTGTACTCAGCGCAATTGAGACGCGCCGCCAGCTCCGACAACACCATGTCTCACACCGGAGCTATGAAAGGCGGGACTGGCGGCGGTACGCACGCGCAAGACCCTGGGAAGCTCCCACAGCGCAAGCGTTGAAGAAGCTTCCACGCAGCGCAGGCGCAGCCCCACCCAGAAGCCATCCCCACGCTCAGCGTCACTAGATGCCTTAGTGACATAGGCTAGAGGCGGGCCATTTTTCCACATCCGGGAAGCAGCAGCTCCACTGCTTAAAGGAACCGCGTAAGGTTTGTGGACTTGAAACATTCAGATGCAGCCTCTCTGATTAAAGCCCTTAGGCCTTAATTCTCATTTTCTCAAATACCCTGCTAACCTTCTAAACAACGGGATACCCTCCTGATGTGCAAACTCCAGTTTTGACTCCTTTATTGTTTCTTGAATGACATATGTCCCTTGCTTTATGCAATTCTATAAAATTAAACTCGTTCCTAAAGCCACAGAATAACCGCAGCGAATCCCAGACATAAATAGAACAAGCCTGCCCCCACAGCCTGAAGAGAGGGTCTATTGTGTTGTGTGCCCACCCCATGTGCTAAAGTGACACTAGGGCCAGATTCTCCATAATTGGAGCACCTGGCAGAAACAAAGGGGATAACGTATTTCCTGGATTTGGAGGAAGACTGCAGTCACTAGCTGAACCTCCAGAAAATAAATGTACACCAGGGTTATTTCAGCTGTCAGAATGCATTAGACTGTCAATGTCAAATGAGGAAAAAGTCATTGTTTTAGATGCTTTTAGTGAGTTACTTGAGTTTGGAAAACATGTTGAAATTATGTGTAATCAAAAGACCCCGAATTGAAGGCTGTAAACATAGAAGACTTTCCACAAATGCACGGTTCACAGCATAGGCAGTGTTAAGGTGCACTAGCTCTGGATTCAAACTACCAATTCTTTGTGGTTTGATCTTGGCAGATCTTAATTTTAATCATAAGGACTTATTTTACTTCTTTGTGCCTCTGTTTGCCATCTGTAAGAGGAGGTTATTAATACTTACCTCACAGTGTGGTGAGGGGCATTTTATACACATAGAAACACTTAGAATGGTGCCTGGCACATAGTAAGCTCTCAGTAATGCTAGCTCTCATTTTATATTTACCCAAATTTGCCCTTTGGTCCATCAGTTACATTATTGGAACAAATAATTTTATCAAATGACTGGCCAGTTGGAAGTAGGGACAGTTAATGAAAAACAGAGACCAGATCTACTGATCTGGAGACTCAAAGTACAGTGACAGCAGGCATCTCTTAATTTGGTCTTACTAACCTCGATATTAAACCCATCCAAAGCAAATCCAAATACCCCATTCCCATCAAAGCAAATGAAAAATCTCACAAAACACTATGAAATCTACATTAACATTTTCCATTTTCTGGCTTTTTATAGTAAGTTTTCTTAACATTTTTAAAAGCATAAATTTTGTATCAAGAACACTTGAAAGTAGGGGTAGTGGGACACAGCTGTTTTTCCAGTACTCAGAGGTGGATCACTTGGACCTAGGAGGTTCAAGGCCAGCCTGGGCAACATGGAAAAACTGTGTCTTGTTTTAAAAAAGAATAAGAAGAAGAAGAAGAAAAATGCAATTGGTATTTCTCTGAGGAAAAAAAAACATGGCAGACAAAAAGTTTATGCCTATCCTTCCTTAACTCAGCTAATTTTCAAACAAGGTTCAGCGCCTGTTATTAATAACTGGTCATACTCTGATGAAGCTCTTATTTTCCTAACTCTAAAAGTCCTTCTATACATTTCTAAATGACATTACTGCAGATGGAAAAGGAAAAGGGTGAAACAGGACCACTGTCTTCTTTCAGGGTTAAACTAATACTAAACCAAGACTACAACCCAAAACATCTTCACCAAAATTAACTAGAGAGTTGGTAGTTCTCTGAAACTTGTATAAATTTTATTTATTACTGTAAATACTAAAATCACATTGAAAACACCTTAAAATCAAGTTCCAAACCACCTACTAGAGAAAAATCACTATGGCATCCAGTTTCTTTGATTGAACCTGGTTAACAAAAGAGGCAAAAGACATGGTTTGTGATGAAAGTTACGATTCAAATGCTAAATATTTCCAAGCTTTAATAAAGTATACCAATTCCAAGTACCAAGCATAATATCAAAATTCAAATTCATTGGTTTACTTTTAATAAGCATCAAATCAAAATCTGTTCATTGAATCCTATCTTAATTGATTTACACAATGCATTCAAAGGTGAGTTATAATTAGGAAAAAGTAGCCATTGAATGCATCATGTATAAAAATGCAATTAACAATTCAAAACCACACTTAAAAGAGAAAATACCTGAAAAGTTAATTCTATTAATAAAATTATTTGAAACAATATCATCCTGCAGATAAAAATACATTTCTTGTATATACATGTAGATTTCTACATGAAAGATAGGATTCAGCTCCAAATAGAAAAGGGCTGACTCCTGATCAAGACATCTTGGATTGCCAAACCCATGTGATTACCACTGTGAAGAGAACTGAAAACAGAAGAAGAAAAGGGTTAGGTTAAAGGAAGAATAAAAGTTTAGTCACCTACTCTGGAATAGTGGCAGAGTTGGGTGAAAAGCAGGAGATGAAGGCAGAAATGAAACACAGAAGACAAAGAAGGTCTCAACTCTGACTGGAAATGGAGATTCAAGCAAAGTTGAGAACAAAGTTGGAATCTGGTAGTTATAGAAGCTCAATTAATCATAAAATGGAATCAGACAAACATCTAAAATTTCATCAAGGACCATATTACATTGACTAGATAACTCAACATATTATCATAAAAAAAAAACAAAGCAAAACAACAACAAAAAACTGCTCCAAATAACATCAAGTCATCAGAAGACATTTGAATCAGATCATATTCATTGAAGCTTAAAAAGTCCCTGACTGGCTTCAAGCAACAGTACAGTACTCTAGAAAGAAATCCTATTGAGAGGTACCAGTGCCAGAAACTCCACTGGACCCTAGACAGGCCCTCCACTGTGGACTTTTTAAATGACTGGACCAGGTTGTGTCCAGCAAAAACATCCTATCATTTTGCAGACAATGAATTAAATTGAGATTGTTCAGAACAACCCCAATTGTGCTGGGGAAGGTAAGAAGTTAAATAAGATAAAGAAATGTCACCAAAACTTCATGCAAACTAGAGCATTCAAGTTCTTTGCTTCCTAGTTAATGCCGTGTGCAGAAGTATCCTTTAAATGACATTTTCCTAGCAAAAAAAGGCTCCCATTTCCTCGCAAATGAGAATAATTGAATTATTTGGGATCCTTGATCACTTACTGTCTCTTTTCAAAGACAAAGTTGTTTTGTTTTACCAAATCCTATACTGAAAAACAACTGAGGTGCTAAATGTTTATCACCAGCCATTTTAGGAATGTCTGAAGAAACTATATTAATCTTAAAACAAAAATGTTTTTGTTTAAATTTCAGACATATGTAATTAAAAAACTGACTGGCCCCACCAAATTTAAGATGAAGGGAGGCCCTAAGAACTCTAGAGAGCTTATACACACACAAGTGAGTGTCACTTTTATATCCTAGTTTTATTAAATATTGCTTCTTTGGGATATGTTTAACAGCTCCCAAACATATTTCTGTGAAAGGATTCAAAGCGGTCATATTAAAATACAGCTTCAATATAAAGTTTGTCACAGTTTTACAGTATTCAAAAATGACAGACCTGCCTTAAAAAAAAATCAAAAAAGACCATTACACCCAAAAACATAAGAAAGCAATTAAATAAACAAGTTTGGCATTTTCATTACTTTATAGTATAAAACAGAATATTAAATCTATCACTGGCAAGCGGACACTGATTTATTACCTAGTTTGAAATGTGTCGCATTTAAACACACTATACAAGTTCACTATACAAAAGATTGATGGTATTTTTGATGAAAGAAGTGCACCCTGAAAAGTTTTGCCAGTTTAGTATATTTAGCTCTTAAAGGTTTTAAAAAAAAAGTCCTTTTCCTTTTTAAAACTGATGGCTGAATTCAGCCTGTTTGTGTGTGTTGTTTTTTCATTTGTCAGCCTTCCTGGTTTAAAAACAATAGTGTCTATGGACGCCCACCAGGGGGCAGTGTAAGATTAGCCATTAAATCACGAACAGCTGCAAATATTGTGCATTCACCTGCAACAGAGAAAAATGGTCATTAGCTATTCGCAGTATAGGAGAGACGTTAACACACCCGTGAGGGGAGGGTTGGTTAAAATCAGTAATGAATTTGAAATAAAAGATTAGGTATTTCAAACTATTCAGATTTTAGGTGCTGAAATATGGTGTAGGATAGCATATTATATTTGGGGTGGGTTTTGTTTTTGTCTCAGGAAGAATCTAGGGCAAGTGTCAAGTTTAAACAGAGGGAGAGGGACAGAGAGAGGGAGAGGGACAGAGAGAGGGAGAGGGACAGAGAGGGAGGGGGGAGAGAGAGAGAGAGAGAGAGAGAGAGAGAGAGAGAGAGAGAGAGAGAGAGATGCCTTCAGTGCACAGAAACAGTGCCGCATTGGGTAAGACTTTAAAAGTCTGACTTTAGAGTTGAATGCTATAGAATGGATCTAATGACAGGTTCTAAACTATATTTATGCATTGCTTACAACTTCAGTGATGTACTATTAATGTTGCATGAAAGGCCATATAAGAATGCCTTCAATACTGTCCAAAAGAACATTCTTCGATAATGGGAACTTGTGTGCTCTGTGGTTACCAAGCTACAAAACTGAACATTTTCATTTTCTAAAGTTATACATTAAGACTGAAGTCAAATAATACAAAATGTTTTGTTTCGTTTGAAAGGGAGAAAAGGTTTGTTTAAAGTTATTTTTCCCCTTTTCTTTCCTCTTTGGTTGCCACGACAACAGTCTCACTATGTAAACCAGACTGGCTTGGAACTTACAATCTTCCTGCTTCAGCCTCCAAGTGCTGAGATTATAGGTGTAAAGCATCAAACCAAGTTAGGATTTTCCTCCAAAGCTCTTCATTGTGAGAGATGGGCAAGGAACCCTAAGTGTTAGATACCAAGAATCTAAAAATTAGATTTGTGGAGGCACCATATCCTCTCAACTTCCCCTATGCCTCTTAGTTCTTGTAAATATTGCAAATGCTTAAATATTATAAAGCAAAACTGGATCTTTCCCACTAGGCTGTTTTGACACTACCACAGCTGAAAGGGGGAGAACTGAAACCCTTGTATGAATTATGGCCTTCTGTCAAAGGGCAGGACACAGTGACTCTGTGCAACTCACTGTGAGCCTTCACTCCAAGCACTGGAAAACGAAGGTACAGAACAAAAGGACAAAGAAAATCCAAAGGCTTGTTCAGCCAAAGAAGGAACAAAGGAAAAAAAGAAAGCACTCCCACAATACCATACCAGTTTCCTAAAGAAGTGAGGTAGGTGTGTGTGCACACGTGCGCATGTGCGTGCATTGCCTGTGTACGCAAGCAGGCACATGTATACACACTTCTTTGACACTTTTATTGATTGATAGGTAGAAAAATTTGCTTGATCATAGTAGGATCAAAACATTTCCCTTCTAATTTTTAAATTACAGAAGATATAATACATAAAAAATAATAGTCCTGTCTATATGAAGGTACTGTGTTTATCATCAGAGTTCTATTGGACCGCTACCTTGAGAATTCTGGTAGGTGTAATTTTGATGCCTGAGGATGGACTTCCAGCTGAATAGAGAGGTCAGAGAATGAAAGCAGAAAATTGTCAGAAGTAAAAGTATTGTAACAAAGCATAATGCTCTCTACTGCCTAGTGTATTCCTTAGAAACTAAAGCAAGGACTTACCTAGGTATGATGTGGGGAAACAGCTTTAAAAAAACCTCATTTTCCTCAGGATCCCTAAAATTTGACACTGTGATACCTAAAAATGTTTCAGAGAACAGCTTTTCCCTCCTTTACCACAATTGTTTTTGCAAGCTATTCTAAAGGAAGGTTTAAAGAGGACTTCCTTAGCATTTGACATGAGTGAACATTCATTTAATTTTCTTAGTATTAGAAATGAGCAAAATCAAAGAAAAGTTCTCTCTGATGAGCATCATGTTTTAGAACCCCAAATTTGGCATTGCCAGGAGTCACATGTTAAGTGTGGGCTACTCCAGTATCGAAGCAACCTTATTATCTTTCAAGAAACACTCTGGTTTCTTCGGAAATGTCCAGTCTCAGAGCTCAGGGAAAAGGCTCACTTGCACCCACCTGACACTTACATAAGAAGCCCAAAAAGCAGTGATGCCATTTGTATCAGCTTTTATTCTTCACAAAACATTTAGAAGATACACACTTTTAATAATATTCTATTCATGATTGAACCATGAAGTATGAGAAACCAACATGCATTTCAACTTTGTGATGTACAGAGTGGCAAGTACTGATAGCAAGGCAGGAATTCACAGCCACGGAAAATCTATCATCCTAACCTAGGGCTTTGTGGCAATGTGTGCTATAAATACAAGCTTCTGGCATTAGCAACCGGCTCAGTCCCAATAGTAAATTGCTAACAAAAATGAAGTCCAGGCAGCAGAGAAATGGACAAAAAATGAAGACCCAGTAAGAAAGAAAGAAAGCGACAAGCAGACACTAAGAGGGCCATGGCAACAGAGCGCTAGTACTAAATTGGGGAGCAGAGTAGGGAAGGAGGGAGAAGAGGAGCAAAGGGGAGGGAGGTCTCTCTCAAAGGAATTTTTATAACATATATGCAATAAAATACCATCTACCGCT